AATATTTTTAAAAATATTTTATTGATTTTTTATAGAGAAGAAGGGAGAGGGATAGAGAGTTAGAAACATCGATGAGAGAGATCGATCAGCTGCCTCCTGCACGCCCCCTACTGGGGATGTGCCCGCAACCAAGGTACATGCCCTTGACCGGAATCGAACCTGGGACCCTTCAGTCTGCAGGCCGACGCTCTATCCACTGAGCCAAACCGGTTCGGCAGCCTGCTGTTATATTTTAAATAGCGAACATGATGAACGCTAAACATTTATTTCCATGATCAGAACCGGTGGCGTTAGGAACTTACTCATTTGTGGAAAGGAATAATGTCCTTAAAGAAAAGACACACAGGCAATCATTATGCTAACAAGGCCCATTCTTAGTATGGCTGGCTAAAACAAACATCTTCCTCCCTAACAAAGGAAGCACTTTACTAGTCCTAGTCCTAACAACTACAACATCACCGTACTTTGCAAGTAATAGTTTCTGCTCATAGCGCTTTGGATACTAAGTCCTGACCCTTTGGTTCTGGAAAAGGGGATTTAAATGAGTGGGAATGTGTTTATAGATGCGTATCTATCTATATGCATCTGTATAGGAATAAATATTTGATGTATGTGTTACATGTGTGTACTTTATAAGATGGGTAGTGACTCAGACTATAGTAGGCGCAGAGTTAAGGCTGATTTGGATTTTCAAGGAATCTGCCAAATGTTTAGTGTTTAACCCATGAACTATTTTGCAAAGGAAAATGACATGTTTTAGGTTTTTAAGAGAAATATATTGTCACCTCCAATTACATAAAGTTGTGGTTAGGAAAATAAGGCACATAATGTCATTAAATTTAATGGAAGCAGAACCCGGAGCTAAGGGGAGTGTGCCAGTTGGTGCCTGGGTCTGTTGGGTGCCGAGCTCTCTGGGAGATCAAACTCTAGGCAGAGCTCTTTGCAGCACTGTGCTGGGGAGTGGCAGCACGCAGCTGGGGAGCCTGGACCTTTGCATCTGTGTTGGGAGATCTGTGCAGTGTAGCCT